AATGGCCCAGTCCTGCACTCTCACTTCCAAGATATTTTTGCCATGGTACTTTTATACTCAGCTCCCTGAAGTGGCCAGGAATCGCCCTTAGATTTTTTTCGGCATCTCAGAGGCAAGCTACTGTTCTCATTCTTGTGGCCTAATCTGGGTACAGTTGCTGATCCACTGAATTCTGTTCTCTTTGCTCTGAATCCCAGAACGGTCTTGAACTTTGGGCAGTCAATCTTCATTCATTCTTCTGCTGGTGCATCTCAGCTCTGAACATAATTAGAAGTATGATTCTCTGCTGGCACCTACTCTGTTTTGGCTATGGCCTCTGATCTGGCTATGGCCTCTGATCTGGCCTCCGATCTGGCTATGGCCTTTTTGCCCCAAATAAATTTATTAAGTGCCTTCCTTGTAGCTGACCCTAACTTATGCGCAAACTGTTGGTGTGGGGTCCAAAGGTGAGGCCAGGATGCAGTTATGATAGAGAACTGAGAGGCAGTTACCAAAAAGGCTTGAACTAAATATAACCACCTTCAAATTTTATAGGAAACTCTGAAGATAAGCTCTCATTAACAAAGTTCTCCATCCAAATATATTTTTAACCAAATTGTGTGGGTCCATGGCCCTTAATAAGTACTTAGCCTCTCTATCATCTTCCAATTATTAACAACCCGAGAGCCTCATTTTTAGAAATCTGAGGACATGTGGTGTAGTCTGTTATCAACAACTCCAGGACTGTGAGGAACTATTGCTCGTTCTTAAATTTTGAACTTGAAAGCCAAGAAACAGCTGAGTGGTATTTTTTCTAACTTTTGGCAACCAACCATGGGTTGCCATTGGGTCCCATTCCTGCTGTAGTGCCCTCCCTTTCTCCTAAATCTACCTATTTGGACCCCCACAACTCACCATTTCCACTAGCACTTGATGACCTTAGTTGCATGGCCTCCCACTTGCTTCTTCTCCCATAGCATCATCTTGCCTCCTCATTGGGTACTATGAATTCTCATAGTTTTTGTCTTTTTCTACCTTCTCTATGTAAAGACCTCATAGACTGATCCATGTGCTAGAAGATGTGCATACCAGCCACCTATTTTTCTCTTCTGTGTGCACATGCGCTTTGTAACAATAATACTCCACAATTTGTTTTTATTATAACTATAAAGTTCATGGTTTTGGAGTTGGAGTATCTGACCAACCAAAATGGATAAATCCTGTGCATCCATTAACTGTGTTTCTGTGAATAATGGAATGTGCAAGAGACCTAATGGATGAGAAAGATAATGTAAGCACTGGTGGTACATTATGGGTATGATCCTATGCAGGTTAGGACATGGAGTTGTCTGTCAAGAAGAACACAACTTTAATATACCAGATTATGGATCAGAATATGCCATCTAAATCAATCAGAACAAAAGTCCAGCACATCGAAATATCAGTCCGCTGGAACTTGGATTGCAGGTGCTGCTTTGGCTGGGTTAGCTTTTGTTCAACCTAAACTGCTACACCAGCTGTACCTTTTCTTAGACAAGGAAGATTTGGCTGCTGTTACTGGTCTTAGTTATATCCACTTTCGATTAGTGCAACGCACTGCCAACAGACCTCCTTTTGAAAAATGCTTCAACATCGCAATTTATACAAAATTCAGTTATGAGCGTTTTGACTAGGGTTGATCAAGTGACTCCACCATTGTACCGGCTTCATTGGCTCCCAGTCTATTTCCAGCACTGTTTCCTTTATGGCCCTAATTGAAGCTAGAAAAGCTGCACTTCATGTCCAGTGCTAGGCATGTTTCAACAGAAATAAAAGCCAGCTGGGATATGCTGGGCATTCTCGGCCATTTTTCTGTGGTGGATTTTTACATGTGCTGAACTTTTGTACTGAATGATTTAGAGGGCTTTTCTGACCCAAAATTTGGTATTTTAAAGTTGTGTTGTTCTTGACAGATAGCTTCATGTCCTAACAGTATGTAAGTTCAAACCCTATGGTGCATTGCATCAATAAGAGAAAATGCACCATGTGGGAGAACACATGTTGAGAACATATGGGGTCTTGAGTTAAAATGAGTAAGCAATCAATAAATTAATAAAAGAACTGCAACTGAAGCTGGCTATAGTTCTAATTGTCTGAATCTTCCATGAAAAACTGCTGCCTGTATCTGAAAAGACTGAAATAAAATTCCTTCTACAGGTTTCATGCTTGATTAACATGGTAGGTATATAACCTTGTTTGTTTTATAAAATAAAATATAAAGCAATCAACACCAACTGTGAAATGCAGTTTGAACCCATCTCTGTTGATTGCATTCTATGCTGCAACGAAATTAAACAATCAATATTCAATCATTTGATATTTGCATACATATACATAACAAATAACAGTAAAAATGAGCATCCACTATCAATTTAGGACAAGCATGTTCTGAACAAAAATGAGCACATAGGCAGATGTCTCAAAATGGCATGGGGAGAGCCTATACTTTAAATCTGTTCTTAAAAAAAGCTTTGAAGCCTAATGAGCAGATAGTTCAGTACGCTGCCTAATGCTTTATCAGTTTAAAGGAGCATACATGCAAAGCAACTTTATAAGACTAGTTACTCTAACAAACAGATTGGACAGTTTCCATGACTCTATGCTTTTTGGCTATACTGACACCATGTTATTTGGCTATATTAATAAACATTGCAGTAATCAATGAAATACATTTCTAAATGCTTAAGGACAGTTTGATTTTCTGGATTTATGTTCACTATACATTAACTGATGGCAGTTGGTTCCAAAGATTTCTGTAAATTTGACTTCTTTTAAATAATTCATACTGCCAAATAATAATCCCTTGAATATGTTTCAAGTATAATTGTAACAGCCTGGATCCAAACAAGGTAAAAATAGAAAGCAACAGTTTTATTTTCTATTTTCCCCAAGTGTAAATGTGGAAAAGCTGTAAACAAGCAATCCTTGGCAGTAATGTGCTAGAATTTGTGCTTACTTTCTCCCTCCATCCATCAGAGGAATTAAAGATTTTTATGTGACAGAGCTGATGTGTTGATCAATAAAACGACAACAATCATTTACACTGAAAAGTTTAGCGCAGTTCCAAGAATCTGCATTAACCATGCTGGGCAGTTACAGCAGAATCAATAGACAGCCATTGCACTTAGTGAAGTGCATAAATAAAGTACAGCAACATTTTTCTACCCAACGATGAATACAGATTAAGGCAACAATCCAAGTAGGAATTTCTCCTGCTCAAAGTTCCTTGGAACTAACATTTTGATGTTCCTGATCCCCTCCTGGCCATTTTAACTTGATAAAGCAAGTTACCAGTAAGGAGTTCACTGATGTCCAACATAATAAAGAATATGCCATTTATGTATTTTATTGCACTTATATATCATCTTTCCAACCAAGGCAGTTTACAAGAATTTAGAATTTAGCCATGAATGTAAGAATAGCAAAAACTAAGTTTTTATTCTTATAACTACTCTGTAAAATAGGTCATTATATAGTGTGGTGTAGTGGTTAAGAGCATGGGACTGGGACTCAGAGGATCTGGGTTCGAGTCCCCGCTCCGCCATGGAGCCAACTGGGTGACTTTGGGCCAGTCAAAGACTCTCAGCGCAACCTACCTCACAGGGTTGTTGTTGTGGGGATAAGATGGAGGAGGCGTATGACGTAAGCTGCATTGAGCCCTTTGTAGGAAAAAGGCAGGATATAAATCGGAAAATAAATAAATAAAAATAAAATAAAATAAAATAAATAAATAATTGTATTCCCTTTGGGCCAGTCTTACGCATGACTTGCATTGGTGCTCAAATAACAACTGAGGGTAGCAGAATAACATCATGGGAAGTATACGACTTGACTTCTGCACCTGTTGCCACTCTTCTGCTTTAGCCTGCACCCTATGAAATTGTGTTTTGTCAAATGAAAGAAGTACAGGATATACATGTAACTGGCCATCCTGTTTTGTCCTAAGGCCACCTAGTGTATTTACAGAGAATATGAGATTTATCAGCATTGTCCCTAAGTATGAGGAAACGTTGTTTTCTATGGACTAGTCTGATTGCCACAGATCATCTTTACTCTAACTGAACCCATAGATTTTCATCTTACTGTTAATATCTTTGAAGTTGGCAGGTGAGTAATTGACAAAGATTAGGCTCCAGTAGTACACCACTTAGCGCAGAAGAATTAGCACACAATTAGCACAGAAGAAACATGAAGGCAATGAGTTGCCTTTTTTGATTGATGTTTCCTTCTCCTTCCTTTATCTGTGCTGCATCCAGAATAACATTTGTTAATTTTACCTGGCAATTAAAAATCAAAGAAGCATGCACTTTTGGACTAAAAATCCAAACGTTTGGGTTATGTCCAATGTCAATTTGACTTACCTAACTTAAGCCCCAGTCCTTTCAATGGGCTTATTCTAAGTAAAACTAATATGGAATAATTCTGGATCCCAACCAAGGTGAGAATAGGATCATCCATAGTGCAGCCTGTTAGTCATCGTGCTACATGAGCTCCCTTAAAATGCTAAACAAGTAAGATGTTATGTATGTTGAAGTGCATTCCTTTCCTTTTTATCTGGATCATGTTGCATTTTAAATATACTAACTTGTCCCAGCTGATTATCTGAAATAATGGTGATTAAACCCACAGGTAGGGGAAAAAGTGTGGTTATTGAAAACATAGTAGAAGAGAATAAAAATAATGATGCACACTTGAACTCATAACACTGCAGTAAGCAATTACCTTAAGGAAGCCACCCACATAATGGTACTCCAGCTTTGTTCTTTATTTTCAAAGACTAAGCTTTGAAATCCTCTACACAATACCTGAACACTCCACATCAAAGGACTTTCTTTCTTGTCTGTTATTTAATTTAATTAGAGATAATGCAAACATGGATTTAAACACTGATTGCTGAGATAGAAAAGAATCCCTAGAAAACACTGTCAAGAAATTAATCGATTTTGTTTTAATCTTGTAAAGCTTCCCTCACACCACCATACCTGACTGGAGCGCCTCTGCTTTGTGCAGGTTTCAACAGAACTGTCACAGTACTGTCAGTTTGATTTAAAGGTGTTTCCAGTTCATAGGGTGGCATAGAAGGTGCTAGAAATATAAGAACAGAGGAGGCAGGCGTTTAATTTTTACCTTTCATTTATTTTTTACAATCTTCTCTTTAAAATATCTTTCTAAACGACAGATGGACCAATTTAATGATATGAGTTAAAGTAGATCCTTGTGTTCACAAAATATATGCTAAAACAATTGCTAAATTTGTAGCAAGTAACTCAGTTATATCCTTTCTCTGTGGACTAAACACTTAGAGCTCATGGATAACTAGTTTCATGTAAACTGAAGAAACACTTCATAGTAAGTTTTCACATGGATTATTGCCTTCAACTGGCCTCAGGGGTTCTTACATGGACAAAAACTAAACTTAGCAAACAATTATCATTGTATTAATAGACTTAAATAACCTTTACCAGGATTTTATGGTGGTTATTGTGTATTTCTAGTTAGGTTGTGGTTATTGTGTATTTCTAGTTAGGTTGAGTTAGGATGCAGCAGAACTATGTTGCAATGGTTTCACCTTTACTCATATAGGTGATCTCAGCAGGTGTCACTCAGGAATTATTGCTGTGTCCCATGGTAATTGTATTAAAGGGTTTCTCAGGCTCTATTTTTCCCTCCATGCTTTCCAACATCTACTTGTTGGGACAGGTTGCCTGGAGAGGTGGGCTGAGAAGGTGTCACAATATGTGGTTGACTCCTACCTCTACCTTTCTTCTTCATCAAATACTCGTAAGGCCATTCATGTTCTGAAGGGGTGCTTAGGCAGAGCAATGGATGGGATGAGGCCAATTCTCTGACATTCAATCCAAACAAGACAGCGATGTGTGTTGTGAAGGCTTTTTCTGTCTAGTTAGGTGGTATTCAGCCTGTTCTGGAAGAGATGTCACTCCTCCTCAAGCAGGGTGGGCAGCTTATGATGCCCCAGATGTTTTGTTTTACAACTTCCATCAACCCTAGCTTCCATAGCCAATGGGGAGGGTTCTCGGGAGGTGTCATTGCTGCAGTCCTGCTGGGAATGCTTTCCCATGAGCAGGTTATTTGCAACAGAAGAGAAGCTGCCATCGGTATCCACTTCTCTCTTTGGGCAAACAGCAGCAGGCAGGGAATCTTCATGGAGGGAGTGTTCAACCCATCACCTTCCCCAGTCCTTATCTCAACCTGCACTTTACTTTAAAATGTGTGTGTGTGTGTATTAAATATGGACAAACTGTATACCTATCATCTGGTTTAACTTCCAAAGGCAAAAAACTCAGCAATAATATATTTATTTATTTATTAAAACATTTTTATGCTGCCCCATTCGCCGAAGCCTCGGGGCGGCTTACAACAATAAATTAAAAAATAATTATAATATTAAATTAAAAAAATATAAACATTAGAATAAAAATATATTTGATAATATATATTGACTGATACATATTACACAGTGTGGGCATACAAGGACACTGAATTCATGTATCATGAAGGAAGAGTGAAGGAAGAGAGAACACAAGTGTATCATCACTTTCTATATGTGCTTAGCACAGTTAAAGATATTGAAGATATGAAGGCCTGGGGAACAAAAACAAACAAAGAATGAACCCAGGAAAAAAAGGGAGAGGTGGGGGTATATCGGAAATCATTCAATGAAACAAGATCACCCATCCCCTCCTTGTTTCTTTTGGGGTACTTTTGGAAAATTTGAGGAAAAAACATAAAAGAAGAGCCAGAACAAGTGATGATTTTTATTAATGCCACTTGACTGGCGGTGGTATACAGCTGCTGATTGTTAATCTGTGTTGAAGTTTGGCTTTGATCCTGATAGGTCTTGTCGCAGTTTGTAAGTGGGACTGTAACACACTCCTATTTGTGACAGAAGCTGGTGTTTTACATCAAAGTGTTTAACATTGTGTGTGTGCACATACATGTGCATGCACACATGTACACATGGTTTTACATTTTTTAAAATCTTGAAAATTAAGATTTTAAAATTTAAAAATACACAAATTTTATTTTATTTTTTAAAAAAACTATAGACTGTATATATAAATAGAGACTTTTTGTGCAACTTGTATGCATACAGGGTCTTTATGAAAGTATGCAGAATGTGTGAAGGCAATAGAAAGAACCTCATGTAATTAACCAATTTGGGGAATGACAGATAGATTGTTTTTCTTTTTTATAGAGTGGCAACTGACAGAAGATATTAGGAGCATTTTTCTGAAAGGAAATTCATTTACACACCAAGCATGCTAGTTAATGGAGAAAATATAGCTAAACAGAATAGAAATGCTGTTTGATTTAAAATAATACCTGATATCTTTGTGGTGAATTGACTTAGAACAGGAGGTCCAAACCCTTTGGCAGTACTGGCTCTTACTGTGAAGGAGTAAGTAGTCCCAGGATACAGTCCAAAAAATAAGCAGAAAGTTTCATTCCCATGCTTTAGAGCACGCCCACTTTGATTGGATAAATCTATTTCTGGGTCAAAGGAGCTGACAGCCTTGTAGGTGATCTGCAAAACAATGGAAAAGTTATAAAACATCCTAAGAAGCTGAACAAATATTGCATTTTTATCCAGTAAACCCTTCTGATGTGTGCACATAAAATGTTTATGATAAGTTATCTCATGTCTCTATATGCTTCAAATCCAGGATGCAATGAGGAGACACAAGTGCAGATGAAACTGCTCTGCGTTATTACTTTTATAGATACGGAGGCTTAGAGACTCAGAACTATAAAGGTCATACCTCAGACTGAAGCTAATTAACCACCCAGAGAGCCTTGGCTATTGAGCAGTATAAAAACCACGGATAGATAGATAGATAGATAGATAAATAAATAAATAAATGTTTTACATAGTTCTCCTTGTTCTTCTTCTTGCTTTAAACTGCATTACTGTTGGCTTTGTAGAAAAAAAATACAAACGCAATGAAACCTCAAAATCCAGATTTAAATTTGAAAAAAGTATAGCTACATTTTAAATGCTCTGTACATGAAACGTATTAGTGAGAAATCCAAGTAAATTCCTCCATTGTCTAAATATATGAGCTATGATAAAATGGTCACAATAATGGTGGTAATTATGATATGGAAAACAGCTCTACCCAGAACCTTGAAATTCTGGGCTATTTCTTCAAAAGAGACAGAGCTATAGGATAACAGTGGCTGCACTATAATTTCCACTAGAACAACTGGAATAATGTGGTTTATTGGTACAAGAAGGGCTATTGCTGAATGGCACTCAAAGCCTAACTGTGAATGTTATTACTGGGGTAACATGCACTGGGTCAGAACTGGTATATTCTGTACCCTGCAACTGTTTACTAACAATCATCAACTGTTTACTAATAAAATATTAAGTTAAAAGCGGGTGTTCAAGAAAACACTTAAGGGCACAGAGAATGTACTGGGATGTTGGCATGCATGCCTGCCCTGCCCATGAATCTAAGTAGGCCTATCCCACCTTCTCCTGTTCATGCTGCCATGTTGAAGTAGCAAAGTCTGAACAGGAATTCCATCTGCAATCCCATGAACAGCTGGGAGCCTTGATAAGGCAGCATTCACAGCTTGGCCCTTGTTCTGACCTTGCTGGCTGAACACAGCAAGATCTGGAGTGAAGAGGTGGGGGCGATGCATAAGGGAAGGGGCCAACATACATGGCGCCATCCAAGTACTCATTCTGAGTCCTCCTGTGTTCTCTGGAGCACCTCCGCCTGTTTGTGTCTTGTTTGCATCACTTTAATTTCTGAGCATTTATCTTAATTTATTTCAAACCATTAAATGACTCTAGACAGTCATCCCATGCTGTCACCAAACTTCACCGTTGTCATTTACAGGCAGGTGCTTTGTTGGTCTGTCATGCACATGAGTCATCTTAATTCAATCAGATTTAGATTTCATAAATCTATTATGCAAGTTGAGTAAAAGAACACAAAAATGCACTAAACAATCCCACCCAAACCAGATAGAAAAGTGTTTTGAAGCAAAAGAAGGCACCAACTAGCTAACATATATTTGAGTCAGGATACACTTATAGACTGTTCCTAAGTCTAGACTTTTGTAACTTATTATGTTTTCATGGACTTTGCTTCTTTTCAAAGAATTGCAACTTGAAGCACACAAACACAACCTGCAATAGTAACGAAACTCATTCTACATTGTACAGGTCAACTACAAGTTAAATTAAGTACGACTCAGAAGTGACCCAAGGTAAGCTCATAATTTATAGAAGCTCTCAGTTTTGACCTCTGGAATTAGAAAAGGTTACCAGTAAGCTGAAAACTTAATTCTGAAGAGAGTGTAGGTTTTAAAATACAAAGCACAATGTTTCTGTGTGTCACATAAATCAGTTTCAAGCTTGAATAATTCTGTGCTTTAATACATCAAGCAGTTACAGCAAAAACCTGCAGAATTTTTCTGAATTTGCCAAAATATGTTATGACATAGACTTTAAGTGGCAAATATGGCATACTTGTATTGCTCTTGTATTATTATTTATTTCATTTCAATACTGCCTAGTAGCCAGTATGTAATGCAAAGCGAAGTAAGTACAACATAAAATCTGTAACATACTAAATGTAAAACAATTCAAACAGGCTAATACATCCACAATAAGATGCTGGATCCAATAGACACAACAGACAGAAATGCCACATCATGTGCATTAAGATGCTTAGAAGCAGAAGATACACTTAACGTGGCACAAAAAGTGGACTTCGATGCTGAAAACTGTCCAAAAAGTTCCTATCTCCCCTTTTGCCACTTTCTGAGATTCCATAGAGGAGGCACTTGCAGGAAGCCTTGTAATATTTGTCATAGCATCTGGGGATTTTTAAGTTGGGAGAGGCACTCCATCAGGTATTGCGATCCATAGCTGTGTAATGCTTTATATGTTATAACCAGCACCTTGAATCAGACTTGAAAACATACAGGTAACCAGTATAGGTGGGTCAGAACTGGTGTTACGTACTCAGAATTTTAGTCCTTATTACTAATGTGGCTGCTGCGTTTTGCACAAGCTAGACTTCTGAACATTCTTCAAGGCCAATCCCACATGGAGCACATTGCAATAATCTAACCTGGAAATTACCAGAGCCTAGACTCCCCTGTCAAGATAAGGGATTAGCTGGACTACCAGCTAAAACTGGCAGAAGTTACTTCAAGGCACAGAGGACACCTGAGGCTCCATGGCTCCAGGAGAACCCCATGCTACTAACCTGCTTTTTTAGGAGGAAATGCAACCCTATCTAAGACAGGACAAATACCCTTCATCTAGTCAGAAAAACCACTCAGTAGCAGTATCCTAGCCTTATCTGTATTGTGCTTCAGTTTACTAGTTCTTGTCCAGCCCACTATCTCAGCCAGGCACCTCACCTAATGAAAATGAAAGGGAGAAACTGATGACAGCACACTTCAAAACTCCCAATCATTTTATATGTAGCATGGGGGACAAAAGTCATGGTTGAGGATCCTCATGATAGGGTCAAGCTCAAGCAATATGCTCCAAATACCACTTTCTGGAGTCATCTATATAAATAAGAGTGGAAACACTGCAATGGAGTATCCACAATCCCAACTCAGACAATTGCCACAAAAGGAGTTGCTAGTTGATGGTGCTGAAAGCCTCCACGAGATCAAGGAGAATCAAATGGGTCACACCTTCTCTTTCTTTCTCTCAACATAAGTCAGGTTGACTAAGGCTGTTTCCATACCAAATCCAAGCCTGAACTCTGACTTAAATTGTACTAGGTAACAGATAACCACTGTTCTCCAAGTATGTCTGAAGCTCGTTGGCCACCACTGATACAAGGATTGTGCCCAGGCAAGAACACTTATCACTGGCCTCAAGTTGTTAAGCTTTTCAAATTCAAAGGAGATTTTTTTCAGGAATGATTTCCCCACTGGCTCTTCAAGCTGGCTCAGGATCACTCTTCTTGACTGATTAAGAAGCATTAATCACCTCCTTGGTCCTGCTGGCTGTTTCCTCCCTGCCAGTAGCAAAGGAGGGCAAAGATCGAATACAGATGTGCTTGCTAACTGTTAGAAATTCATCTAGGACAAGGCTGCACTCTGGATACCTCATCTGATTCACCTGCTGTAGTCTAGGTCCTGATGGATGCAAGGTATTTTATCTTGGATGTACCTTATCATAGCAGGTCTTTGATAGGACCATAGTTACCTCATAGGCTTTAGTTAGGGCTTAATTCCGGCCTCTTCATGGATCTTAGATTCTTAGGGGCTATCTTCTGAGATCTGTCAGCCAGTAAATGCACGTTTAGTGGACTAACTATTGGCACAATGCAGTACCATGGTGTCATTAACTGGGCTAACAGAGCCATCCATCTCAGAAGACCATTGCATTGTGGGTTAACTCCCTTATGCCAGAAGCAGGCACCATGAGCAGAGGTGTCCCTCCATGACCACACAAAGCTATTAAATGTGAAAGCTTGGGAGGATGCCATCATTAATATATTCTTATCACAGTGAGATACATCAGAACACATCTACATACCTGATAAGTTGTAGGTCATTCAAATACTGTTCGTACCAGTAGTCACATACTAGGATCCATACGGCTTATCAGCCTCACACAGGATGCCATGATGCTTATTGCAACCAGATGGCAGTGTCAGCTTTTCATAACATACTATGTGTATAGTGAGGGGCTTGATTTCATTTGTTAATCACTATGCTTCCTATGTAACTGCCAATTTTCATTTCAGTGAAGGAATATGTATATATTGATAAGGCAATGAGGTGTTGCCTAAACTAAGCATAAAGAAACAAATGGAAAGGTGCTGCTGTTATGTATTGATTATTGCTTTTTCTGGCTGGTGAAAGCAGGTTTGTACATTTGGGCTACTGAAGTAATGGTTCTCAAAGAGAGAGGCTGGGTACCTATGATAGGATTTCAACTGAAGAAGTATTACTCAGGGTCTAATGTTTCCTTTGTGGACAATGCCTATAATCAAGGGTGTCTGGATTATCTAGATCCTTTTCAGTTTGGCTTCTGTCCTGGTTAGAGAATGGAAAGTGCTTTGGTCAGACTAGTAGGTAACGTGCACCAGGATATGGCCTATGGGAATACCCCCACTGACTCTCCTAGACCTCTTAGAAGCATTGCTATAATGCAGCATGGTATCTTTTGGGGTCATCTGAAGAGGAAGTTGGAAGATAGGACCTAGAAGGCAGTGCTGTGGGGACAACCAGTCTTTCCTTTGGCTTATGAGAATATTTCCTTGAGACATATCAGAAATTATTAAGCTAAATTTGTATATGGTGATTAATCTAATGGGCATGGTTTTAAAGTTAAACTTGCATGAATATCATACCTTATGATGAGTATCAAAGCTATTTATGCTTTATGTGGGATTCCTCTATATATCCCTGGCAATTATTTTCAGTTTGTTGTTTCATAATTATTTCTGTTGTTTATGTTTGCTAAATTACATTTATATCTTGTCTTGTCTTAGTCTATCTCTGCAGTCCGCCTCAAATCCTGTGAGATAGTTTTGGCTCAGAGACTGGCCCAAAGCCTTCTGGTGAGCTCCATGGCAGAGCGGGGACTAGAACCCAGATCTCTTGGACCCCAGTCAACACTCTACCTTGTTACACTACAAATATTCCTGAAAAATGCAGTTTAAGGAGTGTGGGTTTATCTTTCTAGATCGTGATATCATCAGTTTTGGTTTTTTCCTCAGATTAGATTTTCCACCATGGCCAATTTCTGGTTCATTTCTGTCCAAATCTGTATAGAATTGTGCCTTAAAAGACTGAAGCAGTAATACTGGAAAGGTAAATGGCTACCTCCTATAATGCAAAAATCTAAGACTTAATTCTCAATATTTGCACAAATGACACCATCCTCAGAGGGAGACACTACCCTCAGAGGGAGAGTTATAAGGTCTGTCTTTTTTGGCAGTATTTATGAAGCATTAGTCTTCTCTTTCTTTTATTTAGATGTTTTGTTTCTGTGAAATGCACAATAAAAATTAATTGAATGTTCAATTTTTATTGGATGCCCCATACATTCCTTATCAGTATAAGGAACAGCAATAATAAGGCCTCTTCTATAATGGCATTAACTGCACAGAAACCCCTTTCATGTGAGTTCTTTCAGTCCTCAACACTTTATGGCTTCAGGTAGTTAGTAAAAATGTCAGTTTAGGAAGGCCTATGGCCTACCTACATCTGACTATCTTATTTAATCTCGTGCATCTATGAATAATCTTCCCAGAGACTGTCATGATAATTTTGTGTGGCATGTTAGGATTGATTTGTTATGAGTGTTGGGTATTACACTTGTTTTTCTGTAAGCCAGCATGAATACTCTCTTTGGCTTTTTTTTTTTCTTTTGGAAAGTGCAAGATCCACATTTTAAAATAAAGAAACAGAGAAAGAATATAGCCTGAAAAATAAAACTATCACCACTAGAAACCATAACTACATGTGTAGAAAAAGGCCATAGTTTAAGTGAAAGCTCAGGACTTCAACCAATATAAGATGGATTCCTGCTAAAACAGACTGATCTGCAGGTAGAAGCTCCTACTTGAAGAGGTTTATGGTAGGTAGAGAGCTCCATTTAAGGATCAACAAATAGAAATCAGCAATTAAAGAAGGGGAGAAATGGAAAATGAGGGGGGTACAACATATTTTATTGAAATGCAGCCTAATATGTTTCAGGTATAAAACTCTTCTTCAAAGGCAGTTTCTCTTATAGAATACCTCTACATTTATAACTGGTGCTTCCCACTCATTTTTGAAAGATTACGGACTTACATGGCCTAAGCATAAAACAAATTTCAAGAACAATCACCTTTTGATTACTGGGAAGAGTGTACTTAGTTAAACTAATGAGTTAGTTTCCAGGAGGATAGATCTCTTCATAATAAATTATCTTTTTATAATAAACTTGCCTGCAGAACAGCACTGACAGCTTTGTAATACGAAATTAGATATTTTTCTTTTCGTTTATATCTTCGAGGCATGTGAGTTTTTCATAACATTTCAACAATACTTTCCACAAGTGAAACAAAAAACATAAATATAAGGGTAGTTTGGTCAGGTAAGAAATTTAACAGTGATTATGGGCTGACAGTGTAATACACACAAGTCCTTTGTCGGTATTTTTTGACAGATATTGAGGGCAGAGGTTCCATGAAGCAAAGGAATACTGGGAGGTTTTCTAAGGGTGTGTGTGAGAGAGAAACTAGAAATTCAACATGAAATTTTGTTGAATTTACATTTTAAAAAGCTTGCTGATTTTATTTAATGCCACCTGTATTATTACGATAGCTCTACAGAACTGCAGCAATGCTGCATTTCATTCTCTCGACCATTCTTACCCTTGAGTCATAGTCTAGTGGGAGCTTTTGTTAGCACTAAAATACTAATCTATATAACTATACAGAATAATATTAAAGGCTAAAGCAAACACAGTTTAAAAAAAAAACTAATCCTGCTAACATAGTTGCACCCTGTCTAAAGTAAACTTTCTTATATTAGAAATTGTGTGGCGTAAAAACATTGGCCTCGCATGTCAGAAGGAAGGAAAGACATGTGATGTGGAAGTTCAGTAAGGCCATAGCTTATTTAGACCTCCAATTATAAAAGGGATTGGACTGCAACATGATCTTTACAAAGTGCTTCCTAAGAGAACTCAGCTTAGGTTTCAGTTATTCAAGTTCTGCCAATCATACTGAGAAGACCCCCCACACACACACGCACACACTAAGCAAATGAAATCAAGATGCCAGGAAAAATGGGTTATTGCAGCTACCTGTTGGACTTGCACCCAAAATTGTATTCACAATACATTTTGGGCAGAAACCTGCCTCTGGCATATATTGCGATGTTTGAACTATGGACCCAGTATGTTTATAAAAAAAACATATAAACCCAAGCACACCGATTATTTCATTTGTCATTTGTCATTCAAGCCCAGGGTAGGCAAAATTGGGAGGTCTGGAGGTCACATACCATCTCCTGGGCCCCCACAAGGCTGCGCTCCCACCACCACAGCACCCCTGAATTTGATGGTGGCAAAATAAATAAATAAATAAATAAAAACAGTGGCTTGCCAAATGTTGCCCAAAAATAAAGGGTTAAAAAGGAGACTTTTAGTTTGTTTTAAAAAATACACAAATGTGTACTTTTTATCCCTCTGGAGGGTTCAACACTCCATACCACTAAAAGTCAGTGAAAAAGTGCGGGGACTTTTTTGGAAGGGGTCAGTGCTACGATGCAGCAGGAGGGCAGGGAGAGAGGGGCTGCTCTGGGCGATGGGGGCACATGAGACGCATGTTGATACTGCAGGGATGCTACCTCTTTTTCGGCTGCAATGGCTCTGGAGAAAGGAGAGGGATAGGATGGGTCAGAGGAGGCTCAGACTACAAATATTCAGAACTCAAGGGACTGCTTGTCCTCACGGATGCAAGCCTAGACGGAACAAGATAATGTCGGTCTGATGATAGCTGAGAGTTAGAAGTGGCTGAGGCATGCAGCCGACCTCCTCTTATCAACCAGAATGAGTGCCAGACAAAGTAGTACAACAACTTCAGAAAACCAACATTCGCAAGTTGAGCCCTCCAGCAGGGTTTCCAAAGTGTGTAACAGAAGGTTCAAGCAAGAGGAATGTCTCTTAAAAGTTGCTGTCTTGAATGGATCAAATGACCATTCCTGGAGATAAGGGAATACTTCATAGTAGCCACTTATGACAATGTTACTTACTTCGTATAGTGTGATCACACCATACGTTTGCACTGGCTCCCTCCACTGAAGGTAAATCTTCTCCTCGTAAGTATTTCCTTGAATAGATTCAAGTGGAACAGCACTTGGAACTGATGGATAAAATACATACATGTTAAAGAAATGGTGTTTCAAATTTGGAATGCTGCATTTAGACTCCATTCCTATGACATAAGAAATCATATTGTAAAAGTATACTAAGATCTAGTCAAGGTATGTTCAGGAGGTTTAAAAGTATTAATGGGTTAGCATCAATGTCAAAATAATTTTATAAATAAAAAAATTAATATAATAAGTCTTAAATAATAAGACTTTAGTCATTGGGTTGCTTTTAAAATGGAGTTGAGCCTGTATCAGAAGTTGGCATAATGGGACAGCTGCAGACAGTTCAGGCCCTCAGAAAGACTCCCGCTGCTTGACCTGATCTAACAGTACCCACCCCCCACCCGAACACTTTGAAAAAGCTCAGCTGGATGATCCCTACCCAGTACTGTCACTCTCACTGACTGGGTTCACACTCAAGGGTTGAGTATGGGTTGACTGCATGTTGTCTTGAATCAGGAGCCATTGTAGAAACATGGGTTTTCTGAATCCAGCTGAGCTAACAAACCATAGCCAACAAACCAAGCATAAAAATTAAGCAACAAACCATGGGTTCTCTTCATGGGTTGACTGTGGTTAATATGCTATGGTGGTCAAATATGTATTGCTAGAAACATGATTTTATAGTGATACAATGAGGAAAGGGCAACAGCAAGTGTGTGTGTGTTGCAGGGGTAGGGTTGGGGACTGACCCTGCAGTTAACAACCATAAAGGTGACACAACACTACATCATCAACACAATGCTTATATCTCGCTGAATTTAGACATTCTTTGCCATGGTGGGAAAAACTTCAACCATATTTGGCATGTGAAGATCTAAATGGAACTGAAGTGAATACACCTTGCCATATTTATGGATATACACCTTGATTTGTTTTCCAGGACCTGAGGTTTTCTCATGCTATTACTGTCAAGAAGAGATTTTAAAATACTAATACAATACCTGCTATTTCAAACCATTTTTATAATATGCAAATTGCTCACCATATTGAAAAGTATGAGAAAAATGGGTTTTGTCTTTTAAAAAAGGGACTATAATACTTTCCTGAAATGCTAGAATCTCTGGAGAAATTACTGAGCCTTTTTATTCTACAGTTCTACACAGATCTGACTGTTGATGAAAAAAATGTTTTAGATGCTCCCATGCTAAAAAGCAAGCACTAATCTCAGTGGAAATATGGATAATGCCTTTAAAGGATACAATATGTGTTTGGTACACTGATGATTTTAGCTAGCAATATTCCTGGAAGTATTAAAAAATATCTTAGGGTTGAGTCAAATGGCAAAAGGGCACCTTTTGAGAGCAGCAAACTGCTTCTCCCCTCCACTATTTTTCTAGACCTGATTCAAAATGGAGGAAGTGCCTAGCCAGGGAGGGGATGACACTGACCCAACAAGCATTACTCTCACTCCCAACTGGCTATGTGCCATCATCATACTTCGCTAAATTTACTACTCAATTCCTTATCTGGTGGTATAATTATTCCAAGGTATAAATTGCTGCTGAAGCAGCAGTAGATTAGGAAACAAAGCTGTAGTAAACAGGCAGTAAATGAGAGGTGTACACATAAGATTATGAATTCCACTTCCTAAATAACACTTTGGAACCAAAAATAAATCAGTGAATATTCCATGCACTCCATACAGAAGTGAGGGAAGAGAGAAATTGGCAACATTTTCCTTCCTCTTTCCTCCAGTGGGAGCTTTTGTTGCTGTTAGAAGTCCTTCTGTTTGTAGAATGGGTATCTAGAACCAACCTGTAATATATGTGTTTTTGTAATCCTTCAGCCTACACTGGATTAATTTGTCAGTTCTCACTATCCTTAATCTTTAGCCCCTTGCTGCCAGAATCCTCCTATATGGAGTATGCATATGCGTTATATGATTTTAGTAGTTTCACCAGGCTCTCAAAACACTTCCAAAAACATGTATTCATATGAAATGCATTCAACACAACAAAAACTCACCATCTTCATCTGTTTGCACGACAATCTCTTGACTTTCTTTCCGTCCTTCAGAATTCATAAGAATTAGTTTAATGCTGACATTAGTATATGGGGATAGATTAGTAATGGTGTGCTGAGGGTGTGAACTGTCTGTATCCCAGCTAACTTCCTCTCTGACTTGTTCTTGACCACCAGCTTGGTAGCGGTAATGGACCGTGAGGTTGTACTTATGGCAACGAGTTACATTGTAGCCAAATGGCTCCCAAGTAATGGTGATTTGCCAGGACTTGACATCCACAACATCTAGTTTTCTTGGGCCACGCACAGGATCTGTAAAAAATGAAGGCATCCTTTTCAGAATAAGTGCTTCTAGATGTTACCCGCTAAATGCCATAACTGTTGTCTGGATGTACAAGTAAAGGAAAGGAACAGATAGAGGGAAAAGACCATAAACTCTGCATGAATTTCTTTCCTACAGATCCTGTGCACTGGCTAAATAGGTAACTGATCCTGTCAGCTGGAAGAGTTTGGTTCTATTGCTCTATGGATTAAGACCCCCAACAACTGTTAGAGAATACATCAACAGACGTGATGCTGCATAAACCATAGTGCTGCTAGCTGTGAGTGCTGAATATGGGCATTTTAAAATGATTTTTAAATTGTAAACAGTAGAACCCTTTCATGCATGCAAATCACATAATAATAAAGCACCTAAACATATTTCCACAGGCTCCAAACAAGCAGTATGCGGCAGTGGAAGCAGCAACATTAACTTTATTTACTTTTGGTAATACAAAGACATAGTCTGTAGTGATAATAGTTGTAAGCAATTAAAAATATGATATTATGGCTTGGCCCAATTGGCTTGGAGGACTTGATCAAGTTGATCCAGACTGCTGCCTTAACGGACCAAATCTTCTTGCTGTTTACACTGTCCAAACAATAAGATCTCAATAGGAAACTAAAAAATAAGAAACTTCCTTCATGTTATCGTATGAACTGGACCTCATCTTATGTGTCTAGTCAAACATTATGTCAACAGCGGAGCTATTATACCAATATAGCAGTAATCCTATTTTATTTCATATGAAAGGCCTCAACAAGATAAAAGACAATGACTAGTTGTAGCTACTGCTTTCCTAGTTGAAATGCAAAGAAGAGTTTTAATGAGCCAGAAAGATATGATACCTAAACAGGTTAATATGCATCTTCTGGTTCATGTTTATTAATCAACACGTCTTCACCAAGAATGTTCTAAAAACACTTGGCACAGGATTCCATCACTTCTGCTTTCTAATAATTCTCTGCAAGCTTGCAATATTGTTCAAAGACATTTTTCATTCCTCCTTAAGTTTTAAAGAAAAAGCAGTAAAGCACACACACTTTCAAAAACCCTGGGTAATGCTTTCAGTAAAGCAATTACTGTTGTGTATACATCAAACTTTTTGAATGAAAGGACTTCTGAACTTTCTCTGCATTTCAGTTCTGCCCCCCTAGTGTCTATCTAGGTGGGCAGAAATATATGCTTGGCAGACATTCGTGGAAAACTTTGCATGCATTGTTGTGCTGAGGAAATTCATGGATTAGTGTACTGATAGATGGAAGTTCTTCCTTCCTGTCATCTGTATCTCTTAAAAGGTTTCCTACTTTGTGCTGATCTTCATTAACCACCCAACAGATTCCATAGAAAGGTCAATTGCCAAGATGATTCTGACCACTTGCTCTGATGCATCTTAAGTGGGGGATGAACCCAAGAATGGCCTGTGAGGGTATCCCTGTGGCTTCTGAGGAATGACCAACATCGGTCACGTTGGGTGGGACATGAACAAAGAGGCTCAAAGAGGAAATAGGTCAGATTTACCCTGAGTATATGGATGAAGAACTCCTAGCTGGAGTTCACTGTTTATGATTAGCTATAAGGAAAGGGAGGGAATGAAATTGGCTGGACTAGTTTATAACTGTACACTTGCCTAAAATATGTAAGTGTACAGGTGCACAAAAGAAAGAGAGGGCTGCGTGAATGCACTGTAACTTCCATTGAGGTAGGTAGGGGGTATAACACCTGGGAGGAAAGGAAAAAGGTGAGAAGGAGATCAAGGAATCTGTTCTAGGCACTGACCCCAAGAAGTAAAAGAATCTTTTCCTCTTTCTGCTGCTTAGAACATTCCAGCGTTACTAAGGCTTATAACCATACCCCACAGATGTCTCTCACATGGCCTCTGGGAAGCCCATCCAACATTCATGATAACCTAGGATATAAATCTGTGCCAATTCATGTACATTCAGGAATATACAACAAACCTGTACATGAAATGCATTCACTTGAATGCCGTAGATCTCTGTACACAAATGAATACTAATTTGCTCCTTGCACTGAAATGAGTTAAATATTTGTATTAGACACAGCATTTCCCTAACCAACTCAATATATGGAGTTCTATGAACCTCCCAGTCTTCTTTCCAAGCAATGACTAGACTTGGACCTGCTCATCTGTAGCTGTATGGTGCTTTCCAGCTATATCTTGGGATGAAAGATCTACTTCATATTGTACTAGCAATTCTACTATTAATGATGACAAAATAATAATGCATGTGTATTGTATGCAAAATGTTCTTCAGAGGAATGGAAAGTGAAACAAACAATTAAAACATATATCAACTGGTTGCAGCTTCCTGCTGATCTGGGTTTATTAAGTATTAACCATGTACTGTGTGACGAGGGGAGCATGCTGGGCACTGCACATGCACTGTGAAAAACTCTGGAGATGTCATCAAACAGTACACTTAGTGCTGTCCCCTTAGACTAGGGATGTGAAGAACAGGCTGGAATCCAGCTCTCCTGCACTTGCCAGACTTCTTTCCCGCTTTCGGACCTGAACAGGAAGCCAGCTGAGCTCCGATTAAGCCTGCAGACACTCAGAAACGCTAGCCACTTCTTGGAGCAAAGTACGTCATTCTTTGCAGAAAGTATGCAAAACCTACAAATCACATTACAGAAGCAGAAAAGTTTTATGATATTTGCAGCTCTTAGGTATTCCAAACTGTAGCTTAATTGGCTTATTTTTAAAACGAATTCAATTTAAAACTTCTTTGATAATTTTTTACCAAAGATTATTCTTTTTACATTGTAATTCAACCTAGAAAGACCATGGGAATGAATAGTGGCAAAGAGAAAAAATCCATGACCCCTAAACATTGTCTAAAGGCCACAGGTTAGTTTGGATCCCCAGCTCTGAGGCTGGAATCAGAGCTTCCCTGCACTCTCCCCTGCCCCTTTGCAACTGGCCTGAAAAGAACTATCATCGCTGCTCTTCAAGGTTGGGAAAGCTGCCTCAGAGAAGGGTTAAGGGGAGCAGAAAACAGAGGAGACTGAAGCAACCAGGACACATGCTATCCTGCACCACCTTGAAAATCTTTCTTCCCCATCTGAAACACTATAACTAATTGGTTGAAAATGACCACCTGTAAAAATGCAGGGGAGAAGGAGCAGAGAGATGAAGATACTATCTGCCATTCCTTCTTTTCATCCCATGACCTTCTGTGTTTGGGGAGCTCATGTTCATTTCCACTGGACTGCATCCTAAAATATATATCAAATAAATTAAATAAAGTTGTCCCATGAGAATTTCTTGGGCCCCAAGAGAAATTTTCTGGATGCACCCCTGAAGATAATCGTATTTTCTGCCTGGGATGGGCTACTGCCTTGAAAACAGAAGCAACCCTTAATAAATCAGTGTACTAACAAGGAAAGTGTGATTTAGCAGTGCTAATCACAATGCAGACCACATTCATTAGGCTTAAAGAAAAAACAGCCCTGCCAAAAGCAGTTTACATGCCACAGCGACCATTTTGTACGCTACACATAAATCTCACAGGCTTTAGTAATAGGGTAATTAATTATGTTTTCAGAAACAGCACATTTATTTTCTCCTCACTTGGTATAATTTTGTTGGTGGGGAAAGGAAAAGAGAGATTATATAGCTAGCCCCTTCTCACTTTACAACTGCTTGAATAAAGTATTCACTGGCACACAGCATGCTGGGCTATTATAATTGGCCTTAATAGCATGAATCATATAGCAAATCCAGGCCTCCTGATTCATGGTAAGAGGGCAGGATGGCTGTCCTAAGGAAAGCAAAGTGGCTGTAGCTTAGTCTGGTAGTTGTCTGCAACTCCCCTGATGGTCCCTGCAGTATTTTTCATACTTCCGTCTTACTGACAGTTGCAGCTCACGAACGCAGGGACCAGCAAGTCCAGGTGTAGCCTCTGGCACTTGAGCATCCTATTTAATCAGTGATCTTGGTTTTGTTGACATTCGGCAGCATTTTTCAGAGAACAGAGCAAAACCCTGACTGATAGGATCATTTTCCATTGCAGGTTCAATTCACAGCTCATTTCTCTGGAACTTCATACTTTACCTCTTATTACAACTACTGTGCTCCCCCCCCCCACCAGAAACTCAATTTCAGAATCTGTGAGAGACATTTAGGTGTAATTTTAGGATCCTGTCATTGATAATCAAAAACTTCGGATAGGAAAAAACCTCATGCTACAAGGGATTTTAATTTTTGTTCTGCCCTGCTTCATCACCCTGCTTTAGGCTTAAAGGGGTATGCGGAAACAGAAGAATAAAGCGGAAAAGAGTAGAGTCACCACTCCCACTCAGGGTGTGTGTGTGTGTGTTTTACAGTTCATATACAGAGTTTGCCCCAGAGTCACTTCTTGATTAGCTGTAGCAATTCTTTTTTTCTTGGTGCTTTTGCTGCTGCCCATTTGCTTGCCCTGTGCCCAGGACCCATCTGCACCAGAGCACAAACCGAAGCCCCTGTGACTGTTCAGTGCCACAGCAATAGTCGCAGGAGGAGGGGCTGGGGGTTGGCAGTGGACCCACCTCTGCTTGGCCAAGGATTCTGGCAGATGTTTGGTGCTGCTGACATTTAACACCAGCCCCACTGACTCATGTATAATGAGATTTAGCACCAGTAGTTATTAAAACCCTTGGACAAGGTAACTGTGAAAATTCTATATGTGACAGATATATTGTTAGGTGTTCTGAATTTTGTAATAAATGTTAAGAGCAGCAGCATTCCTTACTCGTTCAGGCATGCTGCTTTGGGTCAAGGCAATGCAGACCTAAACACAAAGTAAACTGTATTTTTGTATTTTTAATTTAATGTTTATATTTTTGATTTATATTATAATTACTTTAACTTATTGTTGTAAGCCGCCCCGAGGCTTCGGTGAATGGGGCGGCATAAAAATGTTTTAATAAATAAAATAAATAAACCTCCTACCAGAGCAACTAACCATGTTTTGTAAACAACGAACCT